TTGGTGGTTTAGGAAACCTCCATGTTAATGTAGGTGTATAACCAATAATCCAGCTGAAACGTTGCACCCTGTCCTAGATTAGTAACTTGTGGTCTGACTAAAATTAGATCTTTAGCAGTTTGTGCACTTAATATTCTGATTTGTTGGAAATGAGAAATCATGTCAAAGTTCCAGTAGTGAAACAGAGGGTTTAGATGCCTGCTTTCAGTATGGGGCTGACTTGCTCTGAAACAGGTGACAGATTTGGGTAGCCACTGCCAGCTTAGGTTAGGGGTGCTGTTTGTAATGTGGAAAAGACTGAAGATGCTGACGTGAGTTGCTCTTGTGTAGACATGAGTTGCCTTCTCTTAACTAGTCTGAACTTCTACAAAAGATGCTGGGTTAGATGGATGTTAAGCTAAGGTTTTTCTCTTAGCCCAGTGTTCCAGAGAAACTACACGCATCAGTTGAAGTAGTACTAGGTGACTGACTAGTATAGAAGCAGCATGTGTTTTTGGCGTTAGTATTCTATTGTTGAATGAGAGATATCAGAAGATACAAGAAAAATGTAGCATTTCAGTTGCTACTGTACCTTTTTAGTGATACTATCACTGATAAAGAATATCAAATAGTAAAACCCTGGTGTTCACTATGGGTGAATTCACTTTTCTCCCACCCCTCTTCTATCAACAGCCGACACTGTGGACGCCTGCTCTGCCATAAGTGCTCAACAAAGGAGATTCCTATCATAAAATTTGACCTGAACAAGCCAGTTCGAGTTTGCAACATCTGCTTTGATGTCCTGACGCTGGGAGGAGTCTCCTAGTATGCTGTGGAAGTAAAGGGATTCCCAGTCAGTGCTCCTGACAGCAGCTCTGCTTACAAGCCCTCTGGATAGGGAAGAGGAGGCCTATACATGTCTTCTGCAATAGACTGAACTAATTAAGGACCCTGTTATGATATATTCTGGTATAAATGATTTTGTATGACTGTAAATGTATTGGGCTGTGATAGACTTCGCTAGGAATTCGAGTGGATCGTTGAAACCAAGTGACAAAAGAATTTAGACCCTCTTCTAGTTGCAGTGGGGCATGGAAGCTAAAATTGTTAGGCTGATGTTTGAATTGACATAAAACAGGTCTGTCCTTGACATGGTGCTTTGCACTGAGCAACTCTATTAAGTCCTGTGGCTTTCAGGCTGCTTAGTAGAGATGGCATTAAGTTTCAGGGTAACCAGGTATCTTTCTTTGCTTTGTCTTAAAGATAAATGTTCCCTTTCTCTACAGAAGACTTCTTGCGAAGCTAGACTGAGCTGTTGCAACCGCTGTTCATTTCAAGAAACTCTTCAAAAATGGGGGTAGTTCTAAGCATAGCTCAAGAATTGTGGCCTTACAACAGAAAGCTTTACAGCATCTGATGCAAAGCAGTCAGAATTGCAGATCCACATCTTGATACCTCCTCAGTAAATGTCTCATTAGCTTTAGCATGTTCAAGAGAAGCGCAAGACTGTTTTAGCCAGTAAATACTCTTGCTTGTACCTGCTAGAGCTGTCAAAGTCTACTTTGTTGCACTTTCATATTTACGTTGCTAGTCCTTCCGATTCATGAAACTTGTATAAATGAACATAAGTGTGCTGAAAGGCCTAAGCATATGCTAAATGGAGAAACACTAAAACTGGTTAAGTAGTCTAACTCGCAATACAGCAATAAATGCTGAAGTGCATTATGAATCCCATGAGGGAGAGTAGCACTTTCCTTTGGTTTAAAGACCCTGGTTAACTGCTGCAGGAGAGTCAGTAACCCCACCAGTGTAGAATGTGCTGCACCTCTAGACGTTAAATTTGGGTCCATTTCAGGATTGCTAGTGAGCGGGAGTGTATTTGGAGGCTTCCTGTTAACATTAAGCCTCTGGCCTTGAAGGAAGGATACTGAACTGGCAGTGCGGTGCCAGGAATTTGGATTAAGCTGCAGTATTTTAATCTAGGCTGGTCGTGCTCTCTTAAACATGCTGAATCTGTAAAAATCCAACACCACATTGTCTAGGCAAACAGGAAAGTACTTTGCTGATAGACAAGGTTATGATTTGGTGGGCAAAGGCTTCAGTCAGAAAAAATGTGTACTTAAGCAGAACTACGTGCCACGTTAAGGCTGTCTTCATCTCAAGAGAATGAACCCAGTTTAGATTCAACTCAGCATTCCTCATCTCTACTCCATGAATTGGTGTGCGTTTATTTAATGACTGTTATCTCCAGTGTATACAATATGGATGAGTTGGTGACACATCGCCCTGTTTGGAATAGAGACTTGTCAGTCTTAAAGAGTAAGATGAGATGATAAACCAGACTGCTGCTTTTATGGGAGACTTGCCTGAGGTTTTTCTCAAACTTGTACAAGAAAAGGATGGGAGAGGGTGTAATTGCTGACATTTGCACGATGAATTTCGCATCAAGTCTCACTTGATCTGCACTTTGATCTTCCAATATGCATTTATTATAACTGGAATCTCACCCTTGTAACACTAGAGAAGAATAATGGATGATAATACAAATTTGCCTCACTGTTTAATGTCTGCTGCTGTCATGTTCCGACAGAATGCCCTGGGTAACACAACTGGTCTCCGTCACACAGTTACTAATTCAAATGGTGCATCTCTGGCATAATATTCTAGGTGAATGAGGTGGAAAATCGTGGTGTCTGAAGCATTTAACTGCAAGCTACAGTTTGGGGGTTTTTTGAGTGAAATAGGTGATGGAAAACATTGTACTTCTAGTCCATTGTTTTCTGATGTTTCAGAATATCACTGGTTGCAAGTCTCTAGCAGTGAAAGATAACAATGATGGAGAGAAAGCACATCTGGTGAAAGAAGTCTGGACTATAGTGTATCCCATGATAACGTGTTGACTTCCTTCTTGGTTTGGAGCTGCAGTGCTGTGGATTGGTAAGCGTGTGCTCAGAATACTGAAAGATAGTGGTAGAAGAGTGTTCTTCCAAGGCCGCGGCCTGTAGCCTTCAACTTAATTGGAAAACTGCACAACACGTAATTGCTAAAGCATTTAAACACTGCTTTTTCAGTGACTTCTCTGATAGAAGGGGCAAGGGAACAGGGAGCTCAGTTCTAACAGAATAAGCAACCTTTTAAATGATGAAAAATGTAGATCATGTGAAAATTCAGCTGAACTGAATGGCAAGTTTAAGGCTGGCTAGTTGCTCTTTTAAAAAGTAGAATATTAATTATAACTGCCTGAAACTCTGGGAAAGAGCTGGGAAACCATACGTAATGCTCCTCGTTTGCTTTTTACAGCCAATACTATACCAGCTTGCTTTCTCACTGAAGTCTGAAAGGAAAGTTAAGGTTATTGATAAACTCATGTACAGCCTGAAGTGTTCATTAAAAAGTGCCTTTGAGGTCGTTTCCTTCTAGCCAACTCTAAATAGCTTTCTGCCAGAGTTAAAGGGGAAAAGCTCACAACTTGAACCAAAACCCAAGTTAGTTCTCTTTTAGTTCTTCAACTAAAGAGATTGACCCCACCAAACAACTGGTGGGGCTCAATCCTTTATGCACTCTGCCTAGTATTGGTCCGAGCTCTCAGACCTCTCAGATTTTTGTGGGAGTTCTGCTGGCAGTGCTCCACTGCAGGGTACAAATGTGAATGGAGGCACTTGGTAACGTAGTAGTGGTCAACACATTTCTAACTCCATAAACAACTGCTCTTCCTTTTTGTAGCTTACTACAGTTGTGACCAGAACCCCCCCACCCCTCTTACCCCTGCTTGTCTTTAAGTAAGTGGTATCTGTTAACTCGAGACTCAAGTCTGCCAAGCATTGAAGAAAAGGGTAAATGGAAAACAAACTAACTTCTGTCCCTGGGAAGTGATGCCGTCAAACCAGGCTTCAGGCACTTCAGGGCTGCATGGGAAGTCTGTGGTGGTTCATACTGTAGCTTTTTGTTCTTAGACTGGATTCCTTTTGATTGCAGTCATCCAGCACTCTTACACAAGCACAAAATGTGGTCTGGCTTAAGTTTTAATTTGTGTCTCTGAAAAAGGTGTAGTCACTGTTTCTCACCACTAAGTGGAGTGAGAACGTTAGTGTTGAAGGTACTAACAGAGCGCAGCAGGTTGCTGGCTAAAAGCTGACAGATGCCTTAATGACTTCCTGTGCTGCAGATCAACGGCTTGTTCAACTTCTCTCATAGTGCTTATAAATTAACATGTAACAATATGGGAGGCCAAGGCTGGATCTTTTTTTCTTGTAGATCAAATGTTAATAGGCGAGTCCTCTTTTTCCTGTAACCAGCAGCGTGGGGTACTGCAGCAAACTCATCTCTAGAAAAATCAAAGCTTGTATGAGTGACAAAAGTAACTCTGAACCTTCTAATACCCTCTGTGAAATAGAAAAGGAAGTCTTAGAACAATGGCATTTTATCTGCAATGTTTGTCTGGAGTCATTGTAAAAATGTATTTTTCCAATATGCATTACTTTGTTGTGTAATGATTCTACTTGTAATAAAATGCATAACTAGATAATGCATTGTGAGGTGGAAACCTTGTTAAGAAAGAGACAGCTGCCCTTCTGCGAGCTATCCTTTACAAGCCACGAGGAAAATTAGGGATATAACAACATTCAGCTGGGCATGACAACTTTATTCTTTGTTCTGAAATTATTCCAGGTATTCATTTTAATGTTGTGGGACTGCCACAGCTGTTCTTTTGGCTGACAAGGTCTGGTGTTCTAGTTTATACCATATAGTCATCTTGAATGCCTTAAACTAGACTTACCTATAATCACTCTTAGGAAACAACCCTAACTTCCCGCAGGCCAGAGCTGGTTCACGGAGTGAATCCATCAGCTCAGATAGATTTAAATGGATGAGCTGAGTTTGACGCAAAGTAACATACTGTTAGTGCATCCGGTTGCACCCTGGTGGGCAGCCTGGCCTCCCGGAAGGGCATATAACTGCTGCAGCTTTATTTCAGGAAAAGGAAAGCTTCAGTGCAATAGCAAACCAACTGAAACATCTTGGTGACATTGTGATGCATTAGTCTTTTATTAATAAAACTTACTAAAGTACAGATGAATGGTGAGCTTTTTTAGAGCACTGTCTATGTCGATTTGTCGCCTGTGTAACTGTTGCTGTTCCCACCCTTTTCTACCATGGGAGAATCTAGCTGAGCTTTTGAATTGGAGTAGAAACGAGGTAATCTTGGAGCACTTCAGGTCAGTGAGGGAGTCTCCTTGTTTGCTTTAATAGATGACTTATTCCTAGTGCAAGGCAAACCTTCCCCCCCTTGTGTTTCCAAACACTAAACTGAGGAATAAGCTGTGAATTAGTTTTTGACCAACTTTAACTTAGAGCAACGCCATCCCATCTTGCCTTCCTGCAGCAGCTTATTTGATTTTTTTTGTGTAGCGCTTAAGATCAAAACCATCCCCTCAGCATTTCAGCGCTATTTGCATAGTGCTCAAGCATTACAGCAAGATGAAACTTGCTTAGAAGTTACACAGCTGATGCATCTTTGCTAGGACTCCAACTTGTGACATTGACTTGCCCTCACAAATCCTTTTTACGATATTTAATAATCTGGAATTTGCCGCAACTTTTAGAGCTATTTTAAAGACACTTGCCAATCATTTTTGGGGATGGTTTGACCTCTAAATGCAAGTTCTTGTCAAAGACGACGTGTCCAAAACCAAATGACATGCTGACACTTACAATGCCCACTAAGTTGTGGAACCAATGAAGCACAGCTTTGCAGCTCTTTCCTGCAGACTTTACCCAGCTTTCTCGTTAGGATTGTTGTGTGAAGCGAGTAGCCCACTCCGATCCCAGAGATGACACAAGCCCATGGCTGAGTTTCAGCTCTAAAAGCGCAACTGGGGACTCGAACGCTGTGTGACGGCTCTGCCGCCACTCATCCACACATACAACCACAACTGATGACCGGTAGAGCTGGCACATCTGCCTGAACGTGCCTTGGGGGACTCCTCTTCAAGATTATGGTGGAAAAGAAACACAACAGAACCAGGTTAAAAAAACCCAACCAAACACAAAACCCCAGACATTTATTACAATAAGCATGTACACGTTTAAATTGCTGTATGGCTCCCATCCTCATCTAAACATCGCAGGTGAAAAGTGCCGCAATCCGTCCCACTGTCACTGCAACAAAGCAATTACTCTTGCTTTGAAGCAACGCTGCCGGGCCTCCCGTAACCTCACTAGTTATTAACTAATTACTTAAGATTTGTGGGACTTCCTTTAGAGGTGGTAGTAGGTCAGAACTAATGAGTTTATAAATGCCTCCCGGCTGTTTATAAATAGGCGGCAGCTGCCTTAAGGAAAAGAACTGAACACAGCTCAGCGGGGATCTGCGCCACTGCTGGACCGTGTGTAATCTGGCTGTCTCCCTCAGGGCTGCAGCTACACCAGAAGCTGATTCTAACAGTAGATACCATAAAAAACAGCAACTGCTTCCCTGCAGCCTGGGGTTTACAGCACCTAGGCCCTAGGCAGGTATTCCCTTGTCCTTTTCAGCCCCCACGCAGAAATGGTAATAACTTCCTCCGCTCTTCTGGGAGTCACTCACATTACTGAATTTTGCCAGCTGTGATAAAATACGTACGGACCTTAAGGGAGCTGTGCCTTGTGAGGATACATCCAGCCTCAGGTTATAGTCTGATGGACGCGTACCAGATGGGAGGAGGTCGTATACCAGAATGGAAACGGGAGGCAGATTACGGCAGGATGGTCATGTTACCACATAGCTTTTGTTATTGCCTATTTCAAACTACCAATTCCTGATCCGAGTAGTTTGAAAATAGTGAATCGGAGGAGCAGGATGGTGAGGTTCATCTAAAACAACGATCCTCACAGGTGGCTGCCAGTATCTTCTTTGCACGGTATCTAATACAAACACTAAATGAGGAAATACAGCTATGACCTTTGCCTTCTGTACTCCAAGAATTTGATAAAGCTTGTATACAACTAAACTGCACAAGTTTCTAGATACCTTAATTGTAGGAGAAATTCAGGCTTCTCCCTGCTACCTTTAAACTCTAGAGTAAATGAGGTGACAGGGCGGGAGCATTCGCGCTACAATGCAGCAGGCAGAGTTCAAGCCGCTGGAGGACTGTGCATAAACGGAGGTCAGCGGTGCTGCAGTTCTTGTGCTCGCTGCCTTAAAACACATCGCACACGCCACTATGCACACAAGCGCCTCTTTCCTGACTGCACAAGATATCCCGTTTTTAAATACAATTCAGGCTCTATCTCTTACAGTTTGTTGCCAGAAGTAAAAATACCATAGGAATAAAGCACTAGGAAAGAAAGTATCCCATTACTGATTTTTTAGCCACTGACTTGGCTAAAGCGTTTCCTGCTTCTCTCAACTCCATCTCCACATGTTAAAGAAGAGTCACAGATAACATGAAATTGTCATTGCCCCCTTCGCACAGACAGATGGAAGGGAACGGAGCTGGAGCTGCCACTGCCCACCCAAAGTGCAACATTTCGCTGCAGGACTCTACGCTCGCCTCGAATCCAGCACTCGGAGTCACACCTTCAGGACACACTGCTCGGCCAGCGGATGGCAGCCGTCGTACTCCTCCAGGTGAGGGTTATCCAGATCGCCTCTGTCGCTGTGCTCAGTGGAGTCCGGCTGGCCCCATGGGGGACCGGTAGTCCTGACGCACACGCAGTGACTCCCCCTCGAACCAGGTCGGTACAGCTTCCGAGGGACTCCAGTCCAGTCTCTGTTCACTCCCCCACTAAGAATGGAAAATTAAAATAAATTACAATTCAAACCCGTGAAAATGCTTCCAGCGAATTGAGAATCATTAGATAAAAACCAAGACAATCTGGGAGAGTTAGAACTAACAATACACTCACTGAGGTAGACTTTGCTCCCAACAGCCAACATCCTACAGCTCTCTGATACCTTTTTACTGGCTGAGCTTCAGAAACCTGTGGCCTGAAGCCGGTTTCATCAGTGCTGCTACATGCTCTCGCCCTTCTGGGAGCAACCAACTTCTGCTCCCCGCGTTTCTATTGCTGGAAAAGGAATCATAGCCTTACGTGGCACAGTGTGTCTAATGGCAAAATGCCTTTTTTGGGGATAGCTAAGTGCTCACAGATAACCACGTGCCTTCTTCCGTGCCATGACTGAACACAGTGATTTTGAAGAACTAGGGCAAAAGAAAAAAAAAAAAAGTCTCAAGTACTTCCGCAGCTACTTCATAGTGTCTCTTTATGGGCCAAATCCTGCCTGTTCCCCTAACTACTGCATCTTTTAAGCCTGTAAACTCTTACACAAGTGACTGCCACACAACACCCAGCCCCAAGGCTGCACCCAAGCTCATTCATGCATAGAAGCGGATCTCCCAAGGTACACAGTGCTACTGGTGTAGAGAAATGAAGCCTAAGCATTTTGCAGTGTGGTCTGCGAAACGATTTCATCTTCAAACAAAACAGTCCCTAAACTGAGAGAGGAATAGAACTAAACAGGCCAAGTAGGAAATGACTATTCAAAGCTCAACCTCCTTTTTATGTGGTTAAGTAAACACTGTTGTGGCAGTAGCCCGTGAGACAGGCTGTGAAACTGTCTGAAAACCACCAGCTAATCCTTGCGTTCCTGATAGGTGAGAAAACGTGTTCGAATGCAGCAGATGGTCCTAGGGGGATTTCTGTCCTGTTTTCCCGAGAACAGGAGGATCATGAGCACATGTGGCAAATTCTGAAACCTGATTTTGACTGCAGTGTGACAGAAGAGTTTTTGCCTCAGAAATAAAATTCCTAAAAGTATCAGCGATGAGGATGAAACTTTATTTCCCTTTTACCTGCTCACCAGGTCAGTGAGCAGAGCTCCCCTCCGCTACCTCATGCTGGAGAACATTTTTGCTAGTCCAACCTACACCTCTGTGCAACTCCAGACTGGGTGGAGGCTATCAGCGGTTCCCGTACTGGCAGAGAAAATCTAGTGACTCCGATTCACACCGCAGCAGCAGGGGCTCAACCTGGCGCCGGGCGAACGGCACCGCTGCTCCTTGCAGATTGGCTCTGCCTCCGTCAGAAAGCACAGCCTGAGGAATGCAGACAGGGGAAGGGACCATGCCCGGCGTATTCCAGCCATGCCAGGACCAACATGAGGTCCAACCTATGCCCTTCTGCGGAGAAGTCGGCAGACCTCACCTACAGACTATGGAATGTGGAGGCTGCAGGAGCCGGGACATCTTCCTATGCCCTTCCTGCTAGAAGAGAAAATGGGGCATCCAAAAAAAGAGCAGAAACGCTCTGCTCCAAAGGGTCCGAGCAGGACGGCAGGAAGGCAGAGTTTACCTCTGTCTGGAGCACCAGAATCGGCTGCCCTTAGCAGAGCTCCATTCAGAGTTGCAGGGTGGAAACCGCTGCTTCCTCTGCTCGCTTTCTGCTTGGAACTTCAGAGCTTCCTCAATCGCAGCCTCAGCCTGCCTTAAGGCTTCTGTCGGTGCCCCATTTTCATCATAGAATCTGCCCACCAGCTTCCCTGGGATAGAAGATCAATTAAGACCACAGTGTTGCCAGGCAAGGAAAATCATAGAATCAATCATAGAATCATAGAATCATTAAGGTTGGAAGAGACCTCTAAGATCATCGAGTCCAACCGTCAACCCAACACCACCATGCCCACTAATAAAGTTGTTATTTAAAGACAAAAAAAGGAGGATCTCGCCGTGGCCCAATTTTAAAACCGAACTGAGCTTACATCCCTTCCATTCTTGGTTCACACAGCAATTTACCCGTATTAATAAATCCGCACAGAACAAGCCTAGGCACAGACTCATTAAAGATCAGAAAGTCAACGCCACTTTCAGCTGCAGAACCCACAAGCCTTTCCCACCCATGCACCCCGCTCCCCAAAACAGCAACAGCCTGCCTGCCAGCACTGCCGCTCCAACAGTCTCCCGAGTCCTGCTCATTTCGGCGCTCGCAGCGCTGGCTCCACGCCTTTTGCTCAGCGGAGACAAATAAAAGCAGGGCAGAGAGCTGCAGCCGACAGCCCAGGGCAGGAAAACCGTTAAGCTTGGCCTTAGAGGAAAGCAGGCCTCAAACTAGGTCTGATTTAGCAGCAGCTCCAGCTGACGGCTCACAGGTTTCAGCACGCTGCTCTCCGGCGGCACAGGTGAAAGACCCTCACCGAGGCGGACACGTCGCAGACGAAACCTGGCCCCCCGCAGCGCTGCGTCCCCCGACCTGCCATCGCCGCGCTGCGGGCCCACCCTCGCCCGCCCGCCCTCCTCCCCA